CAAGAATTTATAACTCCTCTTATTCCATAGTGTTCAAGTTTTGTCAAAAGAATCGCATGGTTAACAGTATCAAATGCTTCCTTAAGATCTATAAAAATTCCACATGAGTACTTTCTATTGTCCATATTAGAATGTATGGTGTTCACAATATCAAGAATCGCGTGCTGGGTACTATATTTATTGCGAAAGCCATATTGTAAATCATAAAGAATATCATTCTTGTCTATAAACTTTATCAGTCTACGATATAAAATTTTCTCAAATAAACGATTATAAATTGATAACAAAGAAATTGGCCGATAGTTTTCAGGTAACGTCTCGTCTTCACCCTTATAAACTGGAATTGCTTTTGCATATTTAAGTTTTGCAGGGTAAACCCCAGTTAGTATAGAGTGGTTAAAAATTTTGGTTAATGATATGGATATGACTGATTTGGCAAGTTTTAACAGTTTAACAGGGGTAGAATAAAGCCCCAGGGCTTTATTGTATGGCAACAAGCTAATTTCTGTTTCAATTTCTTGCGGTATAATTGGATCAAAATAAAAACTGTTCTGCAAAGGCGGATCAAGATAATCAGAAAAAGTAGTGTTAACTTCAGGAATATTGGTTGCAAGTTGATGCCCTATTGACGAGAAGTATTTGAGTCGGTGACGATATTGCCACTAGAAATATTATTCGTCAGGTTATTTGCGAAGATATTGTCAATTAAAGTCGCTGAGGACCCATACACTCGCGTTGGTTTATCAATTGTAGGAAGCATAGAAAAACTTTGCATACACTGAAGCAGTATCTGGCTGTATTTACAGTTTTCATATTTTAGCAAGTCTATATTGAAATATCCCATGAGATATATATTATTATTGTGATTACTGAAATACTTGAGGGAATCCGAAAGATAGTCAAGAAATTGATCTGCATTATTATGTTGTCGGTAAACAATGCCGCAGATATTTTTCTTGTGATTTGGTAGTGAAATTTCAATCCACAAGGCTTGATAAGAGGAATTAGTAGAGCGTTCTCAGACTCGATATTTATAGTTTTCATTAATAAAAAGACCAACACCACCGGCAGACAACGGGGTTTTAACAAATTCAAAGCAATAGCCAGGTAGTTGTGGTATAAAATCAATAGATTCGCCTACGCACAGTCGCGTTTCTGTAACACCTAATACCGTGAAATTATGTTTTACCTCACTGAGTACGTGACACTGAAAATGTTCAATATTTTTTCTTAAGCTTCTTATATTAGTGTGAAGAATAGAGAAATCGGATACGACATCTCTATTTCTGGTATTTTCAAACTTCACGGAGAAGCTATGAGGCGAATAGTAGCTCGAACGAATTTTACTCGGATAAACAAACAGTCTTGCTTTTTAACAATTTAGCTGTCATCGTACGCAAGACACGTCTGGATAAGATTTAAGCGGAAAAATACACTTTGGTCCGCTAGGGAAGTTTGGCACGCGCGATGGCAGGACTCAACAATTTTTTCTCCTAGTCCATCTGACCCTCAGTTTTTGTTTGAGGGAAACGAGAAGTTTGAGCGACGTTTTATTCGAACGTCTATGACTTGTGGCAATTTGGAGAACAATCGGCTTCAATTAGTTCTTCTCCTTCTATTGGAATTATCCAAGCCAGTACAAGTGATGCAAACTGCAACCAAAAATATCAGCTCGAAAAAGAGAAAGCGCCTTCTTCAATAGATGGAGTGAACAGAGAGCATCTTACCTGTTGAAATGATTTGATGGACTTTGAAAATAGTCTTGAGTCTCGTTCTTGGCCCTTAGGCCTGTAGACATGTTACACATTAGTAACCACCCTCAGCGACACGGTTGTCAAGTTATCAGTTGTGTCTGTCACGGATGTTTGACCGTCACGGGTTATGACAAAGAGATGTTCATAAATTTACAAATATCGTAAATTCGCCGGGGGCGCATGAATATTCGTCGCAACGGGGGCGAATCGTAAGGGAGCAAAATCTTTGATTACGTTTTCACGTAGCTGTTTACAAAACGAGTTCTTCTTTATGCAGGCGGGTATAGATATTTGACGTTTGTGTTGTACCAGTTTGAGTTGTTCCAGATGTGAGGTGTTCCGCACGATAAAAATGAAAAAAAAAAAACAAACAAACAAACAAACAAACAAGCAAATAAACAAACCAACAAGAAAAAAAAACAGGATATCCTATTGCAATTTGTAATTTTGGCGAATTTACTATAGCGTGATTTCATAACGGATTTTACGATCTTAAACGCTATGTAATGGCGTCTTAATTTGCATTAGTATAGGTTATCACATGATTTCGAGTGCAATTTGGAATAAATAAGCACGAGTAAATTTTTTCAAAGACTAACAAAATTGCACTCGCTCTACGGGCTCGTGATGACGTATTAATAATATAAATGAAAAAGTACGAGATAGCTTATCACAGGAGCCCAAGTAATAGGCTCCTGCTTATCATAATTACGCAGAAGCAAAGTGCGCGCATCAAGCGCAAAAATAATTTATTCAAACCTGTGCATTCGGTCAAAACAACCGCGTACGATTAAAACAGAAATATACCATGATATTTTCACATCTGTAAGGCGAAAAAAAGTTCAGAGTCCGGCTAAATAGTTCAAGGAATTGTTCAGTCCGTGTCCGAATCACTTTCGATGGAATGGAATCGTCGTTTGCGAGGTTCAACCATGTTTGTTTTTAATTTCGGCGTAGAATCGCTCGAGCAAAGTGTTAAGCTAGATCGGCTCGTAATTTTGATTTCCTTGGCAATTTCCTTCTCTAAACACCACTTTTTCCAAATCGATAACCAAAAAGCAGTGCTTTTTACCGTGTTTTCGTTGTTAGAGCTGTTTTTCAGTTACTGTATTGTTGTTGCTGTGGCGAATTTCCGCGCGAAACTATGGGACTGAGGCGCACGGCGTTTCGTTCGGCACGCTAACATTAATCTTCAAAGGAGTCAAAGTCCTGTCTCGGAGGCTTCTAATTTTTGGCAAAACAAGCTATTTTGTTTTCAGATTTTAACAATTTAAGACATATCTTTTTAAAATTGCGGCAGGAAATAAATTCTATTGAAGCCAAGACCACGTGTTCTAAAAGCTGCTGCTACTGGCACAGAAAAGCTTGCTAGAAGTGAACCAACAACACTAAAATGTATGACTTTCATATATTCACAGTCGTTCATTCACCACTTCACGGATTTTTTTCGGAACCAACATAATGACCAGCTCTCAGTTGGCCTGTTAGCTTAGTTGGTAGAGCACTGCATCGGTATCGCAGAGTTCCTGGGTTCAAATCCCGTACATGTCTGAATTTTTTTTAGGCCTCATTTTCACTACCGCTTAAGTGGTGTTCATTACTGCCGCTTTCATATTCAGGTCTTTATCCACAGTTTAAATATATGACTTTCATATATTCACTTTCGTTTAATACTACAATTTCGCCAGCAACGTACGAATTCGTAGGTTCTGACCATTCCCATATTTAAAGTCAGGGGACCCCTCGTAAAGATTGTTATGGTTTGTCAAGTCCCATTTCTTTATTCGTAGCCGTATTTCTAGCTGTCTCCATAAAAATTTGGGTGGGTTTTCGGGAAAAAAATTTGCACGTGAAATACTTTTTTTTTTTTAACAATTGCGTCTGCGTGGAGTCCAGTCGAGGAGACACGGCGGATAGTGTTAGAAGACGATCGTAACGAGGTCTCATGAAAGTGAACAGGAGATTTCAGACCACCACGAGAGCGAATACATAGATTTGTGAGCTGTCTCTTTGCTAGTAAATCAAGTATTTAATAATGCTTTTTTCCTCTGCCTTCACTTCTGCACGAAGGCTGCTATGGATTGTAATTTTTATGAGGAAGAAGGCCATTTTTACCATTTTGACAATTCTTAGCGAATTATGCATGAAGCTAGTTGTTACCTAAGTATAGTTGTGCTATATCACATATATATGTTCATTGCCAAGCTGTACCTTGATGAACAATAAAAGGAATAACTTTTGTTGCAATAAAGATAATTGGACGGAATAAAGAGTGTTTGGTTCCTGAAATAATCTACTTTTGCATAATAAAAAAGTTATTCTTACTAGTATGTAAATGTTCAGTTTTAAAA